TGACCTCAACAGCATTTATATCAGTTACATTTTCTCTTATAAATATTAACCGTTAATATGTATTTTTAATGAACAAAAAATGTGGAACTAATTGCATTGAAAAGTGGAATCTATGTTTACGACTACTAAAACCCAAAAAAAATTTTTATGTAGGTACTGTCAAATAGGGTAACTTCGGACGGTTTTCGATGTTTTTATTAATATCTTTTATAATATAATATCTGGAAGATTGATGTTTAGAATATATCATCCAAAGGGTCTTGTATGGCGGTATTTTTAGTTAAATTTTATTTATTTATTTCTATTATTTTCTCTGTAGTAAAAAACCAAAACCGGAATAGTTAAAAGTCAATTTATTGTAATCAACTACAGAAAACGTGTTCGAATTTAGGTTATTGAAATTAGTGTATCTTTTATGAGAATAAATAGTAGATTAAATTTCAAAAAAGAAATTTAATGTTCGGTAAAGTAAAATATATACAGAAGTTACCCTATTTGACGGTCAATTTTAAGCTACAAGTGGGAGCTTTATAAATATATAACAGTAGTTCTAAACGCGTTTTAATCGAAACCTTATTTTTCCATGCTGTGTAATGTTTTTCTCAGAAACTACAGGACCGATTCTTATGGAATTTTTAGCACATGTCAGATGTGTGGGTACTACCGGAAGTAAAATTATTTAAAAATAATAATTTTTTTTACATTTTTAAATCAAAAACTGTCCAAAAACATCGTTTTTCGAACAAATTTATTTAAACTGCTCCAAATTTGTTATTTTTTCATAAAAGGTAATGATTATTTTAATTTTTATATTTCTAAGTTTTCTAATTTGAAAAAAACATACACAGATGGCATCGGCATTTTTTACAGGGCTAAAAATATTGCTAACTTTTAAATAAACATAATTTTTTCAATATTACAACGTTTTCTATATAGTTAAAGACTGTCTTTGTTGAACTAAAAAAGATTTAGATCAATAAAATCTTACAGGGATATTAAAAGAAAATTCTACAAAGCGTCTACCAATTGATAAAAACAAGTAAAAAATTAAGAGTTAATACATATATAACATACTGTCATCGAGTTTCATTTTTTTGAGAAGGTACCCTGCTGGTCTTTTTTGTCATTCAAAGGTCTATTGTTTTCAAAAATCCTTTTAAAATTTTGGAGAAGTGAATTTCCTTCATCCAACTTATTTTTCTTTCTCTCCAGTTTTACTTCCTTTTGCTCAAAACTTTTTTCTTTCTCTTCTTCCTCGGAGCCACTTATTAAAATCTCTATAAATTTTTAAAGTTTTTTTTGAAAATTTACAATAAACCCGCGTGAAAGTAAAATAATTCAGTTAATTAAATTACTATTTAAAAAAATATGCTGAACAAATAAACAAAAAACGCAAGTTTTTAATTTTAAAAAAAATATTAAATATTAAATATTAAAAATAATATTATATTGTATTATAATATAAATAATCCTAGTTGTTATACCCGTCATCGACGGGTTTTAGTTTCTGCTAATATATTTAAAGTGATGTCAACCAACCGGGAACTTAATTTGACTAGGAAAAACTAATAAATTGTTACTATTAACTATTTTATTGGGAAAATATTACTATTTGAATCAGAGGCATTTCACGTCAGAAATATCACGATTTGCAAAGGGTATGCCGATTTTCGCAAAAGTTCGTGGGATTATAGTTCTATATAAGAGACTTCTTTCCCCCAAATTTTTTCAAAAAAAATTCAAAATTGTTGAAGATACGCCATTTTGAATTTTAATATTAATTTTATAAAATTTTGAATATCTCGGAATATTGTTTATGGATTTTTATGAAATTTACACATTTTTCAGGTAAAAGTATGTACTTTAAAATGCAAATAAAGTTAATAAAAAAAAATTTTTTTAAACAATTTTTTGTTTATTTACTCATCTCTGAGAAAAATGTTATTAACATATTTGGATTCCTTATGAATTCACCTTTAATTTCATAAAAAAAATTGATGGAGACTCAACTGGTTCCGGAGATATTGAATTTTTTGTAAAAAATAGTCATAGTTACAGCAGCAATGCACGACTGCGGTAACGTACTACGCGACTTGTGCAGTATGGTGCTATGGCGCGGCGACGCTTTTTTTTACAAAAAACTCAATATCTCCGGAACCAGTTGAGTCTCCATCAATTTTTTTTTATGAAATTAAAGGTGAATTCATAAGGAATCCAAATATGTTAATAACATTTTTCTCATAGAGGAGTAAATAAACAAAAAATTGTTTAAAAAAATTTTTTTTTAATTTTTTTATTTAAAAATTAATTTTTTTTTATTAACTTTATTTGCATTTTAAAGTACATACTTTTACCTGAAAAATGTGTAAATTTCATAAAAATCCATAAACAATATTCCGAGATATTCAAAATTTTATAAAATTAATATTAAAATTCAAAATGGCGTATCTTCAACAATTTTGAATTTTTTTTGAAAAAATTTGGGGGAAAGAAGTCTCTTATATAGAACTATAATCCCACGAACTTTTGCGAAAATCGGCATACCCTTTGCAAATCGTGATATTTCTGACGTGAAATGCCTCTATTATCAAATTTAAGTAAATTATTCTATTTAATTATATTAAATGTGTATGCTTAAAACATCATTTTTTAAATAATTAATATTTACAAAAGATAGTAAACATTTCAGTAAATTTTTTACATGTGGGCAATTCCACGCAAGATTTACCTATGACCTTGAAAATTCGGTTAAACATATTTTTTTCTCATTCTATATGGAAAAAAAAGAAATACGTGTTTTTTTATTTTTGTTTAATCGCCCAAATTTTCGAGTTATGAATTTTCGAAATTTTGGATTTGTAACTGTAGACATATTTTCAGTAGCTTATAAGTCTGAAAATATTGAGTTTAGCAAAAACTTGTCAGGGAATGAAAGTTTTAGTTTTCTTTCAACTTTTAAGAAATGTAAAAAAAAAATTTTTTTAAAATTTTTTATTAAAGAAAAATTTTTTTTTAAAACAAATTAATTTTTTTTAACTTTGGACCCTTTTCTTTTTACTTTTTTTTAAATTTATTTATACCTTATAATATGCAGAAGATTCCTAAAAAAGTTTTGGAGTGGGCCGACGCGTTTAATGAGTTGTACAAAATTTTCAAAAATCACGTGCAAGGTGCTCGTGTTCTACGAAACGCCTCACAATGGAATTTTTTTACAATTTACTTCTCAAAAAATGTCTACAGACTAAAATTTTTAATCGATTCGAGTGTTTTTTGTTTTAAATAAAAGGAGAACAATTTCTGAACATATCCCTCCATGCAAACCTAAGAATCTTCAATTGTTTATAATTTTTTTTAAATACAAAAAGTTAACAAATTAGTTGTGTAGTTTCCTTTAAAAATGAATAATTATTTTCTTATTTTGCTACTACACATGTCTTAAATCAGATTCAATTAATATAATATATGACCACTAGATAAATAGTAAAACATAAAATAATTTATCTAAACACTTATAAACAATATTAGTTAACAAATAGTTTGTTCAATAACTATAAACAATTCAATATATATATATATATATATATATATATATATAAATTTGTATTAAATGTTTTTTTTCTTTCCTTGTGTTTTTTAAAATTAAAATAAAAAAATTAATTAAAATAAAATAAATGTAATTAATATATATATATTCTACATTAAAATGTTTATTGCTTTATTTTGAGACAAACATTCTTTGCAATTAACTTCAATGAAAACTATGAAAAAATTCTTTTTGGTGCAGAGGAACCAAAGTTCATTATTTGTTAACTATTATTGTTTATAACAGTTAAAAATAGTTTTTTAACGAAAGTGAGATGTAATCATTAAATGAACCTAAAGTACAATATGAATATGAAAGAACAAAGTTTTTTTATGGAGAGGAACCAAAGTTAACTATTTGTTAACTAATATTGTTTATAAGTGTTTAGATAAATTATTTTATGTTTTACTATTTATCTGGTGGTCATATATTATATTAATTGAATCTGATTTAGGACATGTGTAGTAGAAAAATAAGAAAATAATCATTCATTTTTAAAGGAAACTACACAACTAATTTGTTAACTTTTTGTATTTAAAAAAAAAATTATAAACAATTGAAGATTCTTAGGTATGCATGGAGGGATATGTTCAGAAATTGTTCTCCTTTTATTTAAAACAAAAAATACTCGAATCGATTAAAAATTTTAGTCTGTAGACATTTTTTGAGAAGTAAATTGTAAGAAAATTCCATTGTGAGGCGTTTCGTAGAACACGAGCACCTTGCACGTGATTTTTGAAAATTTTGTACAACTCAATAAACGCGTCGGCCCACTCCAAAACTTTTTGGAAAATCTTCTGTATATTATAAGGTATAAATAAATTAAAAAAAAATAAAAAAGAAAGGGTCCAAAGTTAAAAAAAATTAATTTGTTTATAAAAAAAAATTTTTTTTAATAAAAAATTAAAAAAATTTTTTTTTTACATTTCTTAAAAGTTGAAAGAAAACTAAAACTTTCATTCCTTGACAAGTTTTTTCTATACTCAATATTTTCAGACTTATAAGCTACTGAAAATATGTCTACAGTTACAAATCCAAAATTTCGAAAATTCATAACTCGAAAATTTGGGCGATTAAACAAAAATAAAAAAACACGTATTTCTTTTTTTTCCATATAGATTAAGAAAAAAATATGTTTAACCGAATTTTCAAGGTCATAGGTAAATTTTGCGTGGAAATGCCCATGTATATAATTTTTGTAAAATTTATTTACATTTTTATTTATAGAATAAAAATCAATTAATTTCTATTAAACATTATTATAACAAAATTTGAATATATGCTTATAATATAACCTTGACCTAGATTTGGAACAAGTGGAAAAGCGATATGAGACAAAAAATGAGAGATGAGAAAAAAATCGTGATGCAACAGGAGGAGGATCCCCTATTTCAATTGATTACGAATTTTTAGATGAGCAATTAATAATGCTTTTGTCAAAAGAGCAAAGGTATAAATACAACTAATAGGCATATTATTATTTACTATTATGAATTAAATTTTTTTAATTACAGTATATAATATATAATTAACAATAAATGAGAGTAATATTATTGTTATTAATTTTGGTAGTGATTTAGTTCTTCCACCCGCGAAAGAATGGGAATTGAGGGCGATAAAACAGCTGATGCCAAATAATACTGCTATATGTAAAACAAGTAGTACGAAAAGCCCGAAAAAAGGTTAAAACGTGAATTTAATTAATTAAAATTAATTTTATTTAATTTTATCTTCAAAAATTTTTACATAGAAAATAGTATTTCAACATTTCTTTAAATTTTCAGACAAATAATTTTGTCTATTAAATTAAAAATTTCATTTTTAAATTATATTTTTAATAAGAATTATTTTAATAGCAATTTTCATTTATACATAAAGGTTAATTCTCTACAAACGAAATGTTGTACTAAAGCGGACAAGATTGAATTAAATACTTTAGAATCTGAAGGTAATAATGATAATTTTTTTTAATGTATTAGATTTGTATTTTATATTATATACTTAAAACTTAATAATACTTCATTATTATTAATATTATTTTAATTATTTACTAAATAATTTTTATTAAAGAAGATGACGTTATTATCATCGAAGACGATGTCGATAAATTAGATGACCACAAACAGGATGGAGAAAAAGAAAATATTGACGCCAAAAATGCTCCCTTACAAAGTAAATTAATATATTTCCAATACTTTATTCATATATTTTTTGATGATTTCTTCAATTAATTTGGATAAATTTTAACTACTTCATGCAAGATTTAAACTATTATTTTGATTTCATGTGTCATAATTTTCTCTTTATAGTTTATTTAAAAATTCTGAATAAGAAAACTTATTATATCCCGCTTTTGAGATCTTTTGTCTAAACAAATATTGCATTATCAATTCTTCTTTACAAATGATTTAATACAAGCCAATTTTCTTATGATAATGTACTTTTTATAAACAAATTATTTATAGTATGATTAAAGTTTTGCATTATATGGACGTTTGCTCATCTAGTATTTTAATTACTTATTAATTATTTATTTATTAATTAATCAAAATTATTTTCAAGAAGTGAAGCTAGTATAACTTTTTCTTACATTTTTATATATTACGTCACACTTGAAGGTAGAGGGAGGAGTTAATCAATTTCTAACAATCTACAGAAAAATGTCACTAACGATGTAACAGTGCGTGACATAAGGGGGGGGGATGCTAAAATGGTTATTATAATAATTAGCTATTCAAATGAACTAATTATTAAATTAATTTTACAGGAAAGATAAAAACAAGGACTAAAATATTTAAAACTGAAAAATTATCTGATTACAAAAAAAGCGTGATTGCACTAAAGCAGAAGAAAATGAAAATCATGTCCGAGGCTTTGGAATATCAAAAAATGAGAGATAAACTCCAATATAGCATCCTTAATAAAATTAACAATAATTTATCTAAGTCATAAATCTACATCTTTACATGAAACTATTATTATATTTTCTATTGTTTCATGTTATGGATTTCTTTTAAATGTTTTCTTAAATATTAAAATATTAATATTTAACTTAAAAAGTTATAAACATGACATTCTTTGAATAAAAATTTTTTCTAAAAAGCCTTACGTGTTTTTTAAACGGTGCCATATTAAGTTTGCTCGAACACTATTTTTTAGGCCAAGAGAAATTTACATACAATTAATTTTTTTGTAAAATAGAAAGTTTTTATTTACAACATTTTATAGACAATAGACAATAGACATATTTAGACAAATTTCTTGTTTACATGCGAAAAAAGGTCAGAAAATACTCAATGATTTTATTAATTCAATGAAACTATTTTACAAAATTAAATAATTAACGTTTCTTTCAAGAGTGAATAAATATTTTCTTAATAATTCATTTAAAACAGTAAATTTAGATTTTTTGTGTAAATTGTTAAAAAAGATTTAATAATAATTTTACTAAAAAACTAACAATCGTTTTAAAATTTATTTTAAAATAATATGAATTAAAATTTCAAAAGTGTTTAAATTTATAAACTTAAGTTAATTGTTGAATTTATGAAGCAATATAGTTGTGTTTTATTTTTGTTCGTACATTCGGTTTTTTGCTTTCAATTTTATATTTATCACTGTTAGCGAATTCAATTGACATTTTAAGTCTTATACTGACAGATTAGAAAACTTTAAATCTGCATTCTTGTCACTGCAAGATTTGTATAAAGAGAAGAAAATTCGGTTAATCTATCCTTGATATCATCTCGTCAAAATGGGATTAACAAAATGTAATACAGCTCAAAGAAAAATCATGTTACATTACATGATACAAAATAAAGATCTTGCTTCAGGTAGAGTGAAACATGCAAGCAATTATAAGGGAAAGAAGGTAATTTTAATTTTTTGTTGTAAATAAAATGAGAAATTTATAATTATTTAAAATATAGTTTAAAAAATAATGTTTATTAAAAAATTCAAATATTTTATCACAAGAAATAAAATAAATGAATGAGGAAATTTTGTATTTTAATGAAAAATTATTAATTAATAATTTTTAAATGTAGAGAAATTTATGGAAAAAGCTTACTGGAATATTAAATGCTGTAGAAAATGGAGTAGAAAAAACAACCGATGGATGGAAAAAAGTAAATATTGATCTTTCTAATGTTACTAATAAAAACATAAACAGAATCAAAATTTAGGTTGTCTTATTTTCTTTAGTTTTCAGTAGTTTTATTTTGATTATTTCTGTTTTCTATTGATGTTTTTTCTTACACTAATATTTTTTTAGACAAATGTTATTTCTTTGAGCAATTTGAATAATAATAATAATAATAATAATAATTTTTTTTTTTTGCGTGGGAAGTGGAAAATCTGCTAAAACCTTGGAGGCCTACTTCCAAGTCAGATACCTGGAGCCCGTACTCTAAGGTTATGTGGGGATGACCGCTCATGTTCTGGTCGACCCACTAAAAACCACTCCCTTTTGAGACATATCTCCGCTGGCGGAACTGCTGTCAATCTTACATCGCCAGTGAAGGTCTCCTTACCTACTTCCAGATCCAAGTCCTTATCAAGGCGCCAGCTGAAGAGGGAAGAGTTCCAATTAAGGTCTCCTCCGTCTTTCGCGAGCGCCCCGCCGAGCAGCAGGAATTCTCCAGGGTAATCTCGCTCTTCTGTCGTTCTCCTTCCTCCTCATAACTTCGATGACAAAAGTCTCGACTTCTCGCCATGAGTCCGCGCTCTGCAACATAATTGAAACCATATTCTCGACCGTGACTTCAGTGCCCACGGCCGAAAACATGGCTTCCCTAAGTTCACGCCAGTGCCCGCAGGAAAAAAGCGTGTGCTCCGCGTCGTCAGTGTGCTCTGCTTCGTCGTCACCCGAACCGTTGCAGTACACACATTTCGCGTCTGCTTCTATTTTAAACCGATAGAAGTACTGTCCGAAACAACCATGACCCGACATCGCTTGTGTAAGGTAGTAGCCTACTTCACCGTGTTGTCTTTCCAACCATGTGGCGAGGTGGGGAATCAGGCGATGAGTCCATCTACCTTTCAATTCCCCATCCAATCTCTCCTGCCAACTCAGAACGAGTCTTTTTCTTGACTCTAAGCGGATTAAAGCTTTGAGTCTTTCTTTACGCTCCGGGTTGCCTACTAGATCTTTGGAGAGCTGGAAATTCTCCTGCCTTTCCATCGCCAACAAATCCATTGGCGGTAATCCAGCAAGCACCCGAAGAGCGCAATCAGACACCGTTCTGAAGGCTGACGTTATTCTCCTTGCTGGCTCTCTCTGGGCCGAGAGAAGTCTGTCAGAGATGCTGTGGATCTTAAGGGCTGAAGCCCATACAGGGGCAGCATAAAGCTGCTTTGATTGAACCACAGTCGCCACCAGTCTTCGTTTATTTTCCCTGGGGCCACCGATATTGGGCATCATCCTCGAGAGGTTTCCCATGCATTCGGTGGCTTTGAGTGTTGAGATGTTAATATGTTGGCCAAAACTTAAACGTTTGTCCAACCACACTCCCAGGTACTTAAGCTTATTATCCCATGCGACTTCAGTTCCTCCCATTTCAATCTTCGGGGCTTCATAAACTCTCCTGTCTGTGACGAGTAGAGCTTCGGTCTTCTCGAGGGCCATTTTCAGACCATGCCGATATAACCAAAATTCAGCTCGCCGCAGACTATTTTCAAGTTTTATCTTTAGCAGTCTCAAATTCTCGTTGTAACATATCAGAAGCACGTCGTCCGCGAACCCGGATATAGACGTATCTTCGGGTAAGCCCAACCTCAGAAAACCGTCATACATAACGTTCCAGATGGTTGGTCCCACCTTTGATCCTTGGGGAGCTCCGCATGTCATTTTCTCTTTGATATGACATGCATCGCTCTCGTAGACAACCCATCTGTCGCTAAGATAGTTGTCTATCATTCGCAACAGATACGTTGGTACCCCTTTACATCTCATTGCTTTCATACAAATGTCCCATTTCGCGGAATTGAACGCGTTACGGATATCGATTGAAACGAGCGCGCAAAAGCCCTTCTTCCGTCCCTCTTTAACTTTTTTCGCCTTTTCGAGAACTGCTAAGATCGCGTCTACTGTCGACCGGCCTTTCCTAAAACCGAATTGATTCTCTGATAGGCTATTTTCGCCTACCAGGATTCCCTGAAGTCGCTCTAGAATCATTCCCTCTAGAAGTTTACCCATCGTGTCCAATAAACAAATTGGTCTAAACGATGAGACTTTATCTAGAGGTTTATCCCCTTTTCTCAGGAGGACCAACCTCTGTGTTTTCCAGTCACTGAAAAACTCTCCAGTCTCGAGACATGTATTAAAGACGTCGAGGAGCAACTCTGGATACACAGCGATTACCTCTTTGAGGATCTCGTTGGGTTTTCCGTCGCTGCCTGGCGCTTTGCCGTTCCTCAACGTCTTTGCCACCTTTTTAAGCTCCTCCAGCGTGAAGAGCTCCTCCCTTTGCACTACACAAGAGGAAAAGTCCTCCCTAGGGCCAGATTCCACATGGGGAAACAGCGCCTTAATAATCTTTCAGACCCAGATCGGATTGTCAAGACCAGGGGTTCTTTGCCTCGAAACTAATTTCTTAGTGACGACTTTGTAGGCCAAGCCCCACGGGTCCTTCTCCGCTTCTCCGATCAGGTCCTTCCAACACGATTTTTTGCATTTCCTTATAGCCCGCTTAAAAATATGCCTGACTTTGTGCCACTCTTCTTGCAGCAGAAGGTCTCCCTTTGAATGGGTGTATTTCCTCCTCGCTGCGTTGCATTCTCTTCTTAAGCGGGCTAGTTCGTCGCTCCACCAGTACAGAGCACCCTTCCTAGCTTTTGTTTGGTGCCGGCGAGGCATAGAGTAATTGCACGCTGCAATAATAACTCGCCTCGCTTCACGCACTTTGTCACCCACGGAAATTGGCTTCGTCATCCAGCCTAGCTCATGTATAGCTCGAGCCTCGGCCAGAGACTCCACCAACTTCTCCCGATTTAGCCGTCTGAGATTCCAGGAGGGTCTCTTGTGGCCAACATGCGGCCTGGGTTCCCTCCCTGATTTTTCTCAGCGACTATAAACTCTATGTACTGGTGGTCACTCATAGTCGTTTCGTCCAGCACTCCCCACCGCACTATTCTACGGGCCACGCGGGGCGACGCAATTGTCAAATCGATGATAGACCCTGACACCCCGCGCCTGAACGTGAACTCTTGTCACCGGTTCACCACCACTAAATAGTTTGCTGCTACCATGTCCGATACCAAGGTTCCCCTCTTGTCTAGACGAGTCTCTCCCCATTCCGGCGACTTACTATTAAAGTCTCCCGCAATGAGGACATCCCCGCCGAAAGCCTTGATGCTTTCTTCAAGAGCCTGAACCTCGGCATCAAACTTTTTAAAAGGATCGTTTGGAGAGAAGTAGCAGCTGTAAACGCGTACTCCCGCCACCTCCACCCAAACGAAACCCGCGTCGGTCTCCAGAAAGTCACCAATGGTGATGTCCGGGTTACATATTTGAATACCCGATCTCTTGGATGCATCCTCAAACCAGACAGAGGATTCTGGCTTCCTATACTGCTCACTGAAAAGCAGTATATCAGCTCCCCTCTCTCTGGCAGTCTGCATCAAGAGATCTTGCGCGACTATTCCCTTCCTGAGATTAACCTGGAGAAACCTAAGCTCTGGACTTTAGATCCGTCAGCATCTTCCAATACACCGGGCAGGCTTTGCTCCCTGAAGAGTGTTTCGCGTCTTCCAATCCACGTTCGGAGCAGTCAAAGCATCGGGCTTCCCCTTCGCACCCACCCTTCCTGTGTTCGAGACCGCCACATCTCCAGCAAGCCGCCTTTCGGTCCGGGCCGCTGCATCCACCAGCCAGATGTCCGTAACAGAGGCATCGAAAACACCTCTCCACTTCCACTCTGGCATGGACTCTGCAGCTGACCCACCCGATTTTAACTTGCCCTACCT